AAATTATTTCCCTTCCTACCTACCCACACCTGCTTGGCAGGGTTGGGATTTGGGAAACAAACAATATATTAATTTAGGCCTAACTCGCAACTGGACCTTCGTAACTCGCAACCAGTGGCGGATCCTGAAATTTTCATAAGTGAGGGCCCACTGACTGCCTAAGAGAGGGCCCGCTCCAGTCATGCTCAAGTGATTCCTTATCTAATCAACCAAATTTTTCACAGAAAAGGGCCCCCCCCCCTAAATCCGGCTCTTGCAACTTGACTTTTGTAACTCGCAACTCGACTTTCGTAACTTGCAACTCGACTTTTGTAAATCGCAATTTGCAACTCGACAATAAGAACCCCTCTCCAGGAGGATAGTTGTCATGGTAGCAAATATAAATAAATCGAGCTGCTCGTCTCGGACTCTGTACCTACTCTATGTTACGTATGATGGTAATTTGGTGAGGATCCCATACCGGGGAAGCATATTGCAGAGTTGGTCTTACTAACGTGGAGTAAGCTGTGGCTTTTGTTGCTGGAGTACACCTAGTCCAAATAATTATGACGTCTTGGAAGGCTATTTTAAATTTTTGCTTTGACGCCTTCCTGTCGATGTAAGGCGTCAAAGAAAAAAAATATAATAGCCTTTCAAGACGTCATAATTATTTGGACTAGAGTACACCAGGAACATATATATTGACGGGACTTGACACTACCTAATTGTAGCCGATTTTATCGTCGGGTCATAGTTAATAAAGATACGATACGGAAACGGACATGTGTTAAAAACGTACTCACTATTATCATAATAATTTCTGATATTATCAATAAAATGTCATTCATACATAGTTTTAAAGTGATACCAGTGAATCGAACTTGTTATCTGTCACTTCAAATTTGTTATTTTCGAATTCATTTCATCACAGAATGGTACAGAATGCAAACAGTGTAATAAAAAAATGGCGCCGATTGCATTCCCAAATTCTCACACCATTTTAAAACACTTCACATCAAATAAATCACACTTATTTTGGTCATTTAATATGACAAAATATATCTACTTTATGATAAAACTAGTATCTATTTACGATTAGAATTATGTGGTCAATTTCTTGCGCAGTTCCGATAGTTTTTCAGTCAGACGCTACCAAAATCCATAAATCTCGCGAAGTCTCGTGGAGTCCGAGATTTGATCAATTTTATACTGAAAAGCCTATCAGATTCATTTCCCGTTAGATATACTGTTCCCAGAGTACACCAACCCAGGGTTGTCAATGATATTATATTTCACTTGACCACCTGGGACCAACATTTCAACTTGCACGTTTTATTTTAACATACTTCTTTGTGTATTCACAACATATTGTATATGCATCTTTGAGTATAATCGACAAAATCGTCTATTTTTACCATTTCCTTTCACAATAACAGGAAACATACTTTGACAGGCGGCGGGAAACTAATATCTATAGGCCTATACGCATAATATACAACTCGTTTCAGGACTTGTTTCCGGAATTTTTTATGATAAAATTATAAGTCAGACAGCTGGGATTAGCAGACAGGTTGCAGTCGTACCGGTTGATCCAGGGATACGTAGAGGACGTACGCTGCACTTTGATCTTCAAAAAGTTCCTCATTGTTTCTCACGATTTAAATGATTTTTTTAAACAAAAAAATAGTTCCGCTCTAATAGACCTTATCGCTTTTTGTCCGTCATTACTGGACATCATATTCCCGTGAAAATTTTGACGTGACAATAGAAAATTTCTAGCGACACAAAGGTAACGTGATTGTTGTATGACGTCAACAGTTCAAGTCAGTGGCGGATCCAGGGGGGGGGGTCCGGCCCGGGGAATGGAATCCACCTTTTTTTGACGATCAATGCATTTGAATGGGGACATATAGTTGGAACCCCCCTTTTTATCCTTGGTTGGGAACCCTCTTTTAAAAATGGCTCAGTGGATCAGCACCTGCAAGTGTCGCAGATTCCTAAATAGCGAAAGGGTCTATTTCCGCTCGTCGGTAGTAGATAGATTCCGTTTTCTGAAATAACGCCGCCCCCCTCTTTTGAAAAATCCTGGGCCCGCTCCGAGTCTTGTATATTGACTGCTCCATAGTCTTATATGGTAAACAAAAAGGCTGCTTAGAAACAATTTTCCTTTTACAATTCGTAATGGGACTTTCCGTTGAATATATGAAAAGCCGGGGTGATTATACCTTGTCAAAGACCCCCTAAGAAAAATTTCAGGCACATTTCAATCTCTCACATGCCTTGTTTTAAACCCCTCAAATGCTTAATTGTGCCAGCAATTCCTCAATTTTACATGTTAAGACAACAACAAAAAAACCATCAGAAACAAAAATGGGCACACTTCAGAGGTATATTATGAGCCAATCGGGCCTAATTTAAGAAATGACTTTTGATATCCCTCAGAAAAATATATCCACCCCTTTAAAGATATAAAATGATTCTGAATTGTCCAATGTACTAGTACTAAATATGATCATGTGAACAGTTTTCTTGAAAGAAAACGAAAATGTTGCATACCAAAAAATTACTTGCTTTGCAGTATGAAGATCACATAGACAAAATAAAAAAAAATATCTGACATTTGGTTGTCAATCGGCAATACTTATAAATAAATACAAATAAATTATCAGTGACCGCTGTCGATAATAAACTAGCAATTGATTGTTAATGGTAAAAAAAAATGTTGTTTGTAGTAAATTTATGGAAGTATTACACAGAAAAACACAAAAAATAATTATAATTAAAAGAAAACAAAAAATAACGGATTTTTAAATAAGGGGGAGGGCAAAAAAATGTCCTGTCTATAAGTTCAATGACACTCCGGAAGGCGCCTGCTACTATGTCATGTCAATGTTGATAACTTTTTTTAATAATTTTTAATAAACAATGTTTAACTATACATCAGAAAAAGACGAATGATTTGAGTCGAATGTTTTATTTGTTGTTTTAGTGTAGGTGTTGTCATGCAGAGAAAATAAATCAATAAAAGAGAGGAGAAAGATACCAGAGGGACATTCAAACTCATAAGTTGAAAACAAACTGACAACGCCATGCATGGCTAAAAAAGAAAAAGACCAACAGACAAATAATAGTACACAAAACACGACATAGAAAACTAAAGACAACACGAAACCCACAAAAAACTGGGGGTGATCTCGGGAGCTCCGGAAGGGTAAGCAGATCCTGCTCCACATGTGTCACCCGTCGTGTTGCTTATGTTAGTACAAATCCGGTAATAAGTCTAATTCGGTAGGTCACATTCAGGAAAATAATTTATGTCTAGGCCACCTAGCTGACTGGATCATTCAAATGGTATAATCAATGGTAGATTTGCGTGTACAATGGATAAGGAAGTTATGTTTAATTCTTTGTTAGATGGACCTTTAAATAGATTTACCTTTGTTAGCTGTCCATTGAAAGAGCACTGATAGCTATTACAAATCATTTACGGGGCGATAAACAAAGACGATTGAAAAACCTGTAAGACATATTTTTAAGTTTTTTTTAAACTAGTAAATATGTGCATCTTACAAGGCTTAGCAAGTTTGTATTATGAAATCCAGCTTTTCTATTTGGTTTACTATGAATTGAATTAAAAAACTTGGTAAAATAGTAACTTGAAAAGTTGTCTTCTTATATTTCAGAATGAGGTCCTCAAAGGGGGCATATATACGTGAAACATATGATATCTTTCACCAGTGGCAGATCCAAGACTTTCATAAAGGGAGGAAGATACGGAGGAGTATATTAAAAAATTCGTAAGGGTTCCGCGGAACCCAGTGTCTCGCCTACTTTTGGTGTTAATCGCAGGCTCAACAAAAATGAAGAAAAAAATTAATAAAAATATTCCCCTCTATACTATGTTTTGATTGTAAGTAGCTTCTGTCCAAGTTTGGTAAAAATCCAGGATAAATTATGAATCTAATAAATGTTTTAAAAACTTAAACTGCAGAATGTATGTAATGTTGACTGGAAGAAAAACTAAGTCCATTTATAAGTAAAATACAGAAAAAATGGAACAAAATTTTATCAAAATTTCCTTCTAGATACTATCTTATGATCATAAACAAGCTTCTTTCCAAGTTTGGTATAAATCCAGGATAGTTTAAGAAAATAAAGTTATTGAAATTTCAAAAAATTTAACCACAGAGTGAATGTAATGTTTCCTGGCAGAAAAACTAAGTCCATTTATAAGTAAAATACGGAAAAATGGAATTTTTTTTTTACAAAATTTACTTTTGGATACTATCTTATGATCATAAACAAGCTTCTTTCCAAGTTTGGTAGAAATCTAGGATAGTTTAAGAAAGTTATTGAAATTTTAAAAACTTTAACCACAGAGTGAATGTAATGTTAACTGGCAGAAAAACTAAGTCCACTTATAAGTAAAATACGGAAAAAATGGAATTTTTTTTTTACAAAATTTACTTTTGAATATAATCTTATGATCATAAACAAGCTTCTGTCCAAGTTTGGTAGAAATCCAGGATAGTTTAAGAAAGTTATTAAAATTTCAAAAACTTTAACCACAGAGTGAATATTTGTGGACGCCGCCGACGACGACGACGACGACGACGCCGACGGAATGTAGGATCGCTATGTCTCGCTTTTTCGACAAAAGTCGAAGGCTCGACAAAAAGTAGGCTGTCAAAAATTTTAAAAAAAAGAACTAAAAACATATTTTTCAACATAAGATGCATCCCTGATACGCCCCTCCCATGTTCACGAAAATCTACAATATTATTTTCTTTTGATAAAGGTCATTTAATGTAATACACAAATATAGATTTTACTATACTTATATTACTGTCTGAATAATGAAAAGTAGAATAACAAAAATACCGAACTCCAAGGAAAATTCAAATCGGAAAGTCCCTTATCAAATGGCAAAATCAAAAGCTCAAGCACATCAAACGAATGGAAAACAACTGTCATATTATATAATATACATATATATATTTAACAGAACTAACTAAAATTACCTTTAGAAATAGTCCTCTTGGTTAAAAAGAATTTCCATTTTCGTTTCCTTTATAAACATTATCGATTGTCGACAAGTCATTTCTACATACGGGTATCTAGTATGTAATACAAAACCAATCAATGCAATGCAATATATGTTTATTGAACCAATAACAAAAGATTAACTTTAATAGAGTTTAGTGCGGAAACGTATAAGCGCCATGCAATTTTTTTTGTGTTTCTTCCTATGTTAGCGTTATAACGTGAACCTTTGCGAAATAACACAAACATTTGAGTCATCTTATTTCTTATTTAAATTTCAAGGGAAGGAGTTGTTAAAAATGGAGGGAGCAGTGGGAGGAAGCTGCATGCAATAATTTTTATCACTCTGCACTTATCTCAAAGTATAAGGCTGGAGTGTTAAGCACATAATCATGGCATAATAATGAGAGAATAAAGAAAATTGAGTATGAAGTTGAATCGATAAAAAAATTAAAAACCTATTATTCTCTGAGAAACCCATTTTTCTCTTTTCTTTATATTTTAGCAACCCATTATTCTCTATTCTTTAATTATTTTTTTTTGGTCTGAGTAGTATGGGTCCGTTGATCTTAGTAATATGGGTCCGTTTATCTGTGTAACATGGGTCCAATGATCTGATTAATAATGGTTTTATGATCTGAGTAGAATGGTTCCGAAGAACAGAGTATCTGATTAACAGAGTAGCATTGTTCCAATGATCTGAGTAGATGACCGTTGAGATGAGTATATGCCCGTTGAGATGAGTAGTATGGGTCCGTTGATCTTAGTAGTATGTGTCCGTTTATCTAAGTAGTATGAGTCCGTTGATATGTGTAGCATGGGTCCAATGATCTGAGTAGATGTCCTTTGATCTGAGTATATGCCCGTTAAGATGTGTAGTTATGGGTCCGTTGGTCTTAGTAGTTTGGGTCCGTTGATGTGAAAAGTATGGGTATGTTGATCTGAGAGCTATAGGTAAAAAAGACTCTGAGTAGTATGGGTCCTTTGGTCTGAGAAGTATGAGTTAAAACACTGAGTAGTATGGGTGCTTTGGTCTGAGAAGTATGGGTTAAAACACTGAGTAGTATGGGTCCTTTGGTCTGAGAAGTATGGGTTAAAACACTGAATCTCATGGGTCCTTTGGTCTGAGAAGTATAGGTTAAAACACTGAGTAGTATGGGTCCTTTGGTCTGAAAAGTATAGTTTAAAACACTGAGTAGTATGGGTCCTTTGGTGTGAGAAGTATGGGTTAAAACACAGAGTAGTATGGGTCCTTTGGTCTGAGAAGTATAGTTTAAAACACTGAGTAGTATGGGTCCTTTGGTCTGAGAAGTATGGGTTAAAACACAGAGTAGTATGGGTCCTTTGGTCTGAGAAGTATAGTTTAAAACACTGAGTAGTATGGGTCCTTTGGTCTGAGAAGTATGGGTTAAAACACTGGGTAGTATGGGTCCTTTGGTCTGAGAAGAATGGGTTAAAACACTGAGTAGAATGGGTCCTTTGGTCTGAGAAGTATGGGTTAAAACACTGAGTAGTATGGGTCCTTTGGTCTGAGAAGTATGGGTTAAAACACTGAGTAGTATGGGTCCTTTGGTCTGAGAAGTATAGGTTAAAACACTGAATAGTGTGGGTCCTTTGGTCTGAGAAGTATGGGTTAAAACACTGAGTAGTATGGGTCCTTTGGTCTGAGAAGTATGGGTTAAAACACTGAGAAGTATGGGTCCTTTGGTCTGAGAAGTATGGGTTAAAACACTGAGTAGTATCATTAGTATGTGTCGTTTGGTCTGAGAAGTATAGGTTAAAACACTGAGTAGTATGGGTCCTTTGGTCTGAGAAGTATAGGTTTGAACACTGAGTAGTATGGGTCCTTTGGTCTGAGAAGTATGGGTTTAAACACTGAGTAGTATGGGTCCTTTGGTCTGAGAAGTATAGGTTAGACACTGAGTAGTATGGGTCCTTTGGTCTGAGAAGTATGGGTTAAAACACTGAATAGTATCATAAGTATGGGTCCTTTGGTCTGAGAAGTATAGTTTAAAACACTGAGTAGTATGGGTCCTTTGGTCTGAGAAGTATGGGTTAAAACACAGAGTAGTATGGGTCCTTTTGTCTGAGAAGTATAGTTCAAAACACTGAGTAGTATGGGTCCTTTGGTCTGAGAAGTATGTGTTAAAACACTGAGTAGTATGGGTCCTTTGGTCTGAGAAGTATGGGTTAAAACACTGAGTAGTATGGGTCCTTCGGTCTGAGAAGTATGGGTTAAAACACTGAATAATATGGGTCCTTTGGTCTGAGAAGTATGGGTTAAAACACTGAGTAGTATGGGTTCTTTGGTCTGAGAAGTATGGGTTAAAACACTGATTAGTATGGGTCCTTTGGTCTGAGAAGTATAGGTTAAAACACTGAATAGTGTGGGTCCTTTGGTCTGAGAAGTATGGGTTAAACCACTGAGAAGCATGGGTCCTTTGGTCTGAGAAGTATGGGTTAAAACACTGAGTAGTATGGGTCCTTTGGTCTGAGAAGTATTGATTAAAACACTGAGTAGTATCATTAGTATGTGTACTTTGGTCTGAGAAGTATAGGTTAAAACACTGAGTAGTATGGGTCCTTTGGTCTGAGAAGTATAGGTTTGAACACTGAGTAGTATGGGTCCTTTGGTCTGAGAAGTATAGGTTAAAACACTGAGTAGTATGGGTCCTTTGGTCTGAGAAGTATGGGTTTAAACACTGAGTAGTATGGGTCCTTTGGTCTGAGAAGTATAGGTTAGACACTGAGTAGTATGGGTCCTTTGGTCTGAGAAGTATGGGTTAAAACACTGAGTAGTATCATAAGTATGGGTCCTCTGGTCTGAGAAGTATAGGTTAAAACACTGAGTAGTATGGGTCCTTTGGTCTGAGAAGTATAAGTTAAAACACTGAGTTGTATGGGTCCTTTGGTCTGATAAGGATGGGTTAAAACGCTGAGTAGTATTATAAGTATGGGTCTTTTTGTCTGAGAAGTATGGATTAAAACACAGAGTAGTATGGGTCCTTTGGTCTGAGAAGTATAGTTTAAAACACTGAGTAGTATGGGTCCTTTGGTCTTAGAAGTATGGGTTAAAACACAGAGTAGTATGGGTCCTTTGGTCTGAGAAGTATAGTTTGAAACACTGAGTAGTATGGGTCATTTGGTCTGAGAAGTATGGGTTAAAACACTGAGTAGAATGGGTCCTTTGGTCTGAGAAGTATGGGTTAAAATACTGAGTAGTATGGGTCCTTTGGTCTAAGAAGTATGGGTTAAAACACTGAATAGTATGGGTCCTTTGGGTCCTTTGGTCTGAGAAGTATGGGTTAAAACACTGAGTAATATGGGTCCTTTGGTCTGACAAGTATGGGTTAAAACACTGAGTAGTATGGGTCCTTTGGTCTGAGAAGTATGGGTTAAAACACTGAGTAGCATGGGTCCTTTGGTCTGAGAAGTATAGGTTAAAACACTGAATAGTATGGGTCCTATGGTCTGAAAAGTATAGTTTAAAACCCTGAGTAGTATCATTAGTATGGGTTAAGACCCTGAGTAGTATGGGTCCTTTGGTCTGACAAGTATGGGTTAAAACACTGAGTAGCATGGGTCCTTTGGTCTGAGAAGTATGGGTTAAAACACTGAATTGTATGGGTCCTTTGGTCTGAGAAGTATGGGTTAAACACTGAGTAGTATTGGTCCTTTGGTCTGAGAAGTATGGGTTAAAACACTGAGTAGTATGGGTCCTTTGGTCTGAGAAGTATGGGTTAAAACACTGAGTAGTATGGGTCCTTTGGTCTGAGAAGTATAGGTTAAAACCCTGAGTAGTATGGGTCCTTTGGTCTGAGAAGTATGGGTTAAAACCCTGAGTAGTATGGGTCCTTTGGTCTGAGAAGTATGGGTTTAAACACAGAGTAGTATGGGTCCTTTGGTCTAAGAAGTATAGGTTAAAACACTGAATGGTATGGGTCCTATGGTCTGAAAAGTATAGTTTAAAACCCTGAGTAGTATCATTAGTATGGGTTAAGACCCTGAGTAGTATGGGTCCTTTGGTCTGAGAAGTATAGGTTTAAACACTGAATAGTATGGGTCCTTTGGTCTGAAAAGTATAGTTTAAAACCCTGAGTAGTATCATTAGTATGGGTCCTTTGGTCTGAGAAGTATGGGTTAAAACACTGAGTAGTATGGGTCCGTTGGTCTGAGTAGTATAGGTCCGTTGGTCTGAGTAGTATAGGTCCGTTGGTCTTAGTAGTTGTAGTGCATTGATATGATTAGTATGGGTCCGTTAATATGAGAAGCATGGATAAAAACCCAGAGTTATATAGGTCCGTCTTTCTGAGAAGTATAGGTAAAAACCCAGAGTAATGTGGGTCCGTTGAACTGAGAAGTAGATACAATAAGCATGAGTAGTATGGGTCCGTTGATCGGGAGTTATTGAAGAAACAGTTTAAGATCAGTTTATTATTGTAATAAAAGTACAAATCAGACATAATATTTCATATTGAAATACAAATATTTCCAAATTATAAAGGTTTATTTTATTAATTTGTATATTTTGACTAATTTGATTCGTTCAGGAATAGTCACATGTTAAACTATATTTTTAAAAGTCGATTGAAAATGGCGGATAGAAAAGTGATATTGCACGGTTATTTTTAGAATATCTAAAAACCGATATACTTTGTGACGTCATCTAATGAATTTCATGATATTGTTAAAAGTTTTTAATAAGTTTATATTTACGAACGATTATTTGAAAAAAAAAAATGTTCAAACACATAAGATGTACACAAAAAACATAAAAAATTTATCACCAATATGTTGTTTTTATCCAAGAGACAATATGATATCTATAAAATTCCAAAAAAATTGCATGATCGAAAAAAGATAATAGTATAATGCACTGACGATTTTGATACAAATATGATCAGTGATTAATAATATAACAATTATAGCCTTTGTATGAGGTCAATACAGGATATATCGACCCAAAGAAGTATATCAACCTCGGACTTCGTGCTCAGTCAATATACTTTTCTCGGTTCAATATTATACACCTATTGACTGGTTTTGAGGGTAGTTGCAAGTTTGT